TGGGATGAATTAGAAGATTCATTGCGAGCCAGATCTTCCCATCCAACATCAGTACCTGACCTCAGAAATGGGAGCAAATTCCCACAGACACCCTCCAAATTCTTGTGGAAAGTCTTCCCTGAAGAGTGGAGGCCACAAAGCAGGAGGTGGTAGAAGGCATCTCCACATTAATGTGCATGGTTTTAGAATAGGAAGTCCAATTACCTATAGAGGTGATGGTCGGGTGCTCACAGACTTTGGGTCATATCAGGTATCCAAAGTCATAATTACTAAGAGGTAGGACAGAAATATCCAGGGAACTGAGGGGACAATAGCAAAATGATGTGAATTATTTTCACCATAGCCGAGTTATGGAAAAAGCGCAGAGAGGTTTATGAATGGGAAAAGCCTTTCAATTCACACTTTATATCCTGTATGTCTAATACTAGGGGGGGCGATGTACAAAAGGGGCCCTTAGTGTCCGGTGCTGCAAATGGCCATCACGCGGTCATTACATGACGCAATGATTCTCATCATTCTTACCGAGTTCCAGCTGTTTGATTTTCGCTCGATGACGAACGTCTGCGATCCCTTTAACCCCGGGGTCTCCTTGTAGTCATTCAGCAGCCTCAGGATGGGGTACTGGGTGCTGTAGCTGTGATTACAAATTCAGAAAACTTTATTTAATATCTACGGTGACTTCACATCACAAGACGAGTGCCTCCTACAGCCCAGCCTTCCTATCCGGGTTACAGTGCAGGTGGAGTCACTCAGGGGCTTCTTTATATGTTTAGAACTGGAAATTGAGGCCTACAAATCATGGGGGAACCCTGGAGAGATATTGGTTAAATACAGGGGCGTAACTAGAAATCACAGGGCCCCATAGCAAAATGATGTGAATTATTTTCACCATAGCCGAGTTATGGAAAAAGCGCAGAGAGGTTTATGAATGGGAAAAGCCTTTCAATTCACACTTTATATCCTGTATGTCTAATACTAGGGGGGGCGATGTACAAAAGGGGCCCTTAGTGTCCGGTGCTGCAAATGGCCATCACGCGGTCATTACATGACGCAATGATTCTCATCATTCTTACCGAGTTCCAGCTGTTTGATTTTCGCTCGATGACGAACGTCTGCGATCCCTTTAACCCCGGGGTCTCCTTGTAGTCATTCAGCAGCCTCAGGATGGGGTACTGGGTGCTGTAGCTGTGATTACAAATTCAGAAAACTTTATTTAATATCTACGGTGACTTCACATCACAAGACGAGTGCCTCCTACAGCCCAGCCTTCCTATCCGGGTTACAGTGCAGGTGGAGTCACTCAGGGGCTGCTTTATATGTTTAGAACTGGAAATTGAGGCCTACAAATCATGGGGGAACCCTGGAGAGATATTGGTTAAATACAGGGGCGTAACTAGAAATCACAGGGCCCCATAGCAAAATTTTGTATGGGGCCCCGTGATTGCTAGTTATGCCACTTGCAGAGCCCACCATAGACTCTCTATGGTGGGCTCTGCAAGGTCTCAGTTGGGCTGCACGCCTCTTACCCGTCAGCGTTGTCCACCTCCGCGGTCGCCGCCGCCGGGCCCCTGCTTCCTCTTCCGTCCCCGGGCTCCGCCTCCTTCTATCGACGGGCCCCACCTCCTCTTACATCACTGGCCCCACCTGCTATTAGACCGCTGGCCAGTGATGTGGGAGGAGGCGGGGTTGCTGTTAGGCGGGCCCCGCCTCCTTCTTTAGCTGCAAACGCCGGTGTAACCGGCCTATTCTGCCGCATCTGCTGGCTGTCACTGACACAGCTCCGCAGCGGCTGTGACAGCCTGCACCCCGAGACGCCATAGCGACCTAGGCGGCCCACACGGCATCAGCGGGATGCCTGGCCCGGGCCCCCCTGTGCACGGGCCCCATAGCGGCCGCCTGGGTCGCTATGGCGATTGTTACGCCACTGGTTAAATATAAGATCGCCTCAAAATGCCTTTCAAAAAACAAAAATCTGAATTTCTTATTGGAAAAGTGAGGCTGAGTATGGAAGGAATGGGAATGCGTGTGTAGCGTGTTCATTTTTGTTATTGGAGGTATGCTCTCTTTTTCGGTCATTAAATCTCGGTGAGACCCATTTGGATCTCCTATTTGGCAGGTAATGAGCAGCCATCTTCTAGTGCCCTCTATGGCACCGTGTCATACCTCGCAGTGATCTCTACGGCAGGCATCAGCAACCCCGGGCACGCAACGCCGTTTGCAGTTGCAACCACTGTGATTGACTATAACCAGGCCCGGATTCCCCACAAGGCCACCGAGGACCGGCCTCATAATCTGAGCCGACCTGTCACAATGAGACTGTCACAGGTCGGCTCAATAGATCGGGAAGTGAGTGAACACATACCGGCGCTCGCTCACTTCTCCATCTATCCGTGCAGAGAGAGGTGACTGTCACTCACGCAGCTGGGCGGATCCAGACATAACTGTCGGGATCCGCTCCGGCTGCGGCGTCTCAGTATACCGTGAGCTGTAGCTCCCTATATACTGAGCTTAGGGTGACGGGAGGACGCTAGTTTGTGTCCTCCCGTGACCCTTAGGAGAACTATGGGGAAAAGTCCTAACCTTATAGTTCTCCTTTAAAATAAGGTTCTGGAATGGGGGGAGATTGGAGGAAATGCTGGGAGTTGTAGTTCCTTTGCGACTGGACCTGAATGATGGTCCTAGCTGTCCACTTACTTCCTTGTAACGATCTCCTGGGTGACGCTCTTCGACTCTCTCTGTGTACGCAGCCGGAGAAGTTCCTGTGGGAATCATAGAAGCAATTTAAATGAATCGTTTTTTAAAATATATTTTCACAAGTCGTACAACTTCTCGGATTAAAACTCCGACCAAATGTTCTGAGCAGAGTGTGGGTGAGGGGTTAGAACCCCTCTCAGGTTATTATTATTCTCTGCAACCCGCTGGGAAAGATTTCCCTTCATTCCTTGCGACGGTGTGACACCTCCTGTGTGTCGGGTCTGACGAGGTGTCACCCGGAAAGGAAGTGAATGTCAATTTCTCCAGCAGGGACAGACGCAGCAAAAAAGAGATCCCAATCTCTCCCCCTAAATTTGATTTTTAGGCCGATCTAGGCAGAAAGACACCTCTGGGAATAAAATATCAACATTTACAGCTCTCGTCATTCAGGAAATGACCCGGACTTGCTCAGTAATTGCAGGAGCCCCTGAATGTGTGATCATCAGTTCTCCAGGTCATAGCTCTCCCGCGCTGCATCTCAGCTGCTGCTCCTGCCTGCTGCAGTGACTACAGTGACTTCGGTCCTTTCCGGCCCTCCAACCCTCACCTGCTACCAGCTGTCTAGGTTTACCTGAGGCCTTGCCTTGTACCCTGAGCCTTACAATGCCTTACCACCATGTAGTCACAACATGTATTTCTCTGGAAACTCCCCCCCCTGGCGCCCCCCCATCTATTTCAAATTGCAAAATCCAATAGCAGGCTGGCTATTGCACCCGCCCACCGAGCAGAGGAGCGTAGCTGAGAGACATCTTTCCCTCTCAGGTCCTCTCCACTGCTCAGTGGGTGGGGTTTCAATAGCAAGTCTGCTATTGGCTATTTCAAATTAAATTACATCCACCTGTTGCCTGCAGAAGCTAACCCGCAGGAGAATGGGGCTGTGCAGGGGGGGGGATGCGCCATGGGAGGGTGGTGCAAGTAGCTGGGCTTCCCTAGGGCACCTGTCCTGCTCGGCTACTAGAGTCCGCCTCGTCTCCTGAGTCTTCCTTAGCTCCGTCAGATGTGGCCGGCTCCTCTGCTCTCTTGGCTGAGGTTTTTACTACAGTCATGCAAGGCCTAATGTGTCAAATCCGCCAGTTATTTGCCGACTCTGACCACAAAGGCCACAAGCTTCCCCTTCAAATTATGTGTCTTCTCTGCCCATGGCAGAAGAAATGATGTCACCAGCACATCGTAGGAGTAATTTAGCAAAAGTCCATTTAATGACACATTGCCATTCAATACAAGCGCTTTTCAGGGCCTCAAGAGTCCCCTTCATCAGGCTCAGAATGACATAACAGACATTCTCTGCCCATGGCCCTCAGTGCCATCAGTCACCGAGACTCTGATTGAGTCATTCCAGTCTTTATCTAATGGAGAGGCGCAGTGTTTCCCAAATTAAAAGACCCTGTTTCAGCTCCTATGGATGAAACTAGAAGATCAGCCCATGGCTTCTACCAGTGCTATTCCCATTCTTAGGTCCTTTAGTTGTTCCAAGTCTTCCTCTAAAGGAGACTGAAAGCACTCTGACAAGATGATTGCTTTACCCGAATACATATTAGTCTTGTACCCGAATGAAGAAGAAGACCTTGTGAAAAAAGTGATCTGCTCCCACTGTGGATCTGGCACTGATTTGCTGTCAGACCCTTTTCTTCACCCCATCTTGGCTGTGACCTTCCTACAGCTGGTGTCTGCACCAAGGTTTGGCTCCAAGCACCATCAAAGGTCAGGTTTCTGCCCCATCTATCTTGTTTCAGAGACTGTTGGCCTCGCACTCCTTGATTAAGACCTCTGCACAGGACATCCCCCATGTAGCTTCCCCTGTTTATTTCCCTGCAACTCGATGAGACTGGAACACAGTAGAAACATTTCTTTCTCTACTCTCACCGACCCCCAGGACTGTATTCCTTGTAGCCATCACCTCTACGAGATGAGTGTGTAAACTGGTGGCCTTATCCTGCAATGAACCTTGTCTGGTGTTGAGGTCCAGGTCTAAAATTTCACCTCAACCAGAAAACTGCTCTTCTGTCCCTCAGTCTCTCCGGCTCCAATTCACAAAAAGAAAAAATGTCTCTCTACTGTCTGAATGTGGCCACGGCTTCTTCCAGAAGACCAATTCCCTTTTTGTCATCCCCGATGGTCACCAACATCTCATTTCACCATCTCAAAGTGGCTTAGGAAGACCATTATCTTGTTACTATTGAGCTTGTTATGGTCATAATGAACGGTGTCCACCTTTTCCTGCCAAGGCGCACTCTACTAGACCTGCGAGTGCTTCCTTTCCTAGATTTGCAAGGCTGCCTCTGGTCACTGGCCACACGTTCTGGAAGCTCTACCGTGTTCCACCATGTAGATGTTGAGGCCTCATCTGATGCCAGCTTGGGGTGTAAGGTTCTTCAGACACTTAAACCCTCAGTTGGACTGCTGTAGGACATCCCAAATATGAAAGACGTCCTCTGTCCCACATGTATGAAAAAGAAGATGGGATTTTTTTCTGGCGTTCATTTGAGGAGCACAAGTGCCTCCCCCCCCTCTGTTTATGATCATGCTCTCGGTATTGCTTTGCTACCATACTGAGGCCTGCTGGTAGTAGGAGAGGTTATCCTGGGCTGGCCTACAATTTTTTTGTTTGCCAATGTCCGATCTGCCTATAGACGGTAGTATAACCCTAAATGTGAGGAATTCCTGTGTCCCTCAATGGGCTCCAAGAAAAGGATTTTACAGTGAGTACAACGATCCAATTAAATCATTATCCCACCAAATACAAAATCAGATGAAAACACAGTAAATAGTAGATGACTATAGTAGCTAAGACATACCTAGCTACGAAGTTGCCCCTAAGACAAAAGTTATCGACAGTAAAATATATCCCATGAATAGATGTGATACAAGTAAACCTCCATGACAGTATATCACTTAAGTAACAGGTGCCCTTTAATCGGTCCTCACCTCCTGCTGCCTCTTAATTAGAGAGTCCCTCTCCTCCAGGGAGGACGTCAGCTCTAAGAGTTTCAGCTGCAGGTCGCTGCTGCTTCCTTGCTTCACCGTCACTTCATGCTGGAACTTGGAGATCTGAGTCTGAAATGCACGTCACGGGTTAGAATTCTACATCTTGCAGGAAAATGGTCAGGCCGGCCCCCATTGTTAGCCTTACCCTTAGGGTGCGGATCTCCTTGTCCTTTTCCCCTCGGAGGCTCTCTATCATCTCCTTGTAGTGCCGGGTGATCTCATCGGTCTTAGCCTGCAGCATGGGGTTGGAGACGGTTTCGGAGACCTGTGCGGAAACACAGACATGTCAATTATACAACTTCCAGAATGTAAAGGCGAAGAACCCCCGAACATGCAGCAGTTCATATGTCAGGCAGGGTTTGACCGGAAAAAAGATACAATGTAATAACAAATTCCCTCTGGGTGCCGCCATGATGAATTATTATCTGTCAGAGTCAAGATATTGAAAATGTTCAGTGACCCCCCCCCCCCCGTTACCACAACCTGCCGGACTGCATCACAACTGCATATGGTGTGAACAGGCCCCTAGACCTCATATCAGAGCATTGCAAAGCCTAGGGAAGTCATAGGGTCCTTCTGGGCTTTGACATGTGACACAACTAAAGAGGGAAGGCATCTGGTAAGTGAATTTTAACTTAACATACTGCTAACCCTTGTACTCTGCATTACATACTACTGACCCCTGCGCTCTGCGTTACATACTACTGATCCCTGCGCTCTGCGTTACATACTACTGACCCCTGCACTCTGCATTACATACTACTGACCCCTGCGCTCTGCGTTACATACTACTGATCCCTGCGCTCTGCGTTACATACTACTGACCCCTGTGCTCTGCGTTACATACTACTGACCCCTGCGCTCTGCGTTACATACTACTGATCCCTGTGCTCTGCGTTACATACTACTGACCCCTGCGCTCTGCGTTACATACTACTGACCCCTGCGCTCTGCGTTACATACTACTGACCCCTGCGCTCTGCGTTACATACTACTGACCCCTGCGCTCTGCGTTACATACTACTGACCCCTGCGCTCTGCGTTACATACTACTGACCCCTGCGCTCTGCGTTACATACTACTGACCCCTGCGCTCTGCGTTACATACTACTGACCCCACCTGCACTCCGCGTCACATGCTGCTGACCCCTGCACTCCGCGTCACATGCTGCTGACCCCTGCACTCCGCGTCACATGCTGCTGACCCCTGCACTCCGCGTCACATGCTGCTGACCCCTGCACTCCGCGTCACATGCTGCTGACCCCTGCACTCCGCGTCACATGCTGCTGACCCCTGCACTCCGCGTCACATGCTGCTGACCCCTGCACTCCGCGTCACATGCTGCTGACCCCTGCACTCCGCGTCACATGCTGCTGACCCCTGCACTCCGCGTCACATGCTGCTGACCCCTGCACTCCGCGTCACATGCTGCTGACCCCTGCACTCCGCGTCACATGCTGCTGACCCCTGCACTCCGCGTCACATGCTGCTGACCCCTGCACTCTGCATTACATACGTCTGACCCCTGCACTCTGCATTACATACGACTGACCCCTGCACTCTGCATTACATACGACTGACCCCTGCACGCCATGCTGCTGACCCCTGCAATATGTACTACTGACCCCCGCACTCTGTACATTACATACTATTGACGTAGAGACTACTGACTACTGGAAGAGAAACGATGCTGCAGGTATCAACAACCAACAATAAATGTGGATCTCCGCCCATCATAAAGCGCAGCTCAGCAGCAACCAGACTCACCTGAACCCGCAGATTTTTGTTCTCTTGCTGCAGAGCGTTCTTGGCGTACTCCAGCTCCTTCAGTCGGTAATCTTTGTCGCTGTCGCCGTTGCGCAGGGATGTGATGGTCTCCTCCAAGCTGCGCAGCTTCATCTGACTTTCCTTCAGTTCTTGCTGGAGGGACAAAGACAACAGAGCCGGGATCACATTGCGCTGTCCTATCACATGGCGCTGTCCTATCACATGGCGCTGTCCTATCACAGTGTCCTATCACATGGCGCTGTCCTATCACATGGCGCTGTCCTATCAGATGGCATGGCAATGTCCAGTCACATGGTGTCCTATCATACAGTGTCCAATCACATGGTACTATCCAATCACACAATGTCCTATGACATGGTGCTGTCGGATCACACAGTAATCAATCACATGGCGCTGTCTAATCATGCACTATCCTGTCACACAGTACCCTATCACACGGCATGGCAACGTCCAATCACATGGTGTCCCATCACACGGCGCTGTCCAATCAAACGCTGTCCTATCATACAGTGTCCAATCACATGGTACTATCCAATCACACAGTATACTATCACATGGCGCTGTCCAATCGCACAGTGTCCAATCACATGGTACTATCCAATCACACACTGTCCATTCACATGGCGCTGTCCTGTCACATGACATTTGTGCGGCGCTGTGCTGGGCGGTACCTGCTGCTGGCGGTTCTTCTCTCTCAGGGAGGCCAGCATGGTCTCGTATTCTTTTATCTGGTCGTCCTTGAAGGTCAGATCTCTCTCCAGAGATTTCTTGGCGAGCTCCAATTTCTGTAAAAGGAAACATTTTATATATCGGAATAAATACATAATAACGAGTGACAGCCAATCACATCGCTCTGCAGCAATGTCTCCACCACACGTTACAATCGGATCCTTCCGCACGTCCGCAGTTCTGTCCAGTTAATTCTTTTACCTTTTTATCATTTACCCTCAAAATGTTGTGCGCTCCGACCGGTCCGAAAATCTCTGATGGTTCTCGGCAGGGGCGTAACTAGAAATCACAGGGCCCCATAGCTCCGCCCCTTAGTTGCAGTGAAGGGAACTCTTAAGGCATCAGCACACCAAGACATTTTGGACAATTTCATGCTCCCAACTTTGTGGGAGGAGTTTGGGGACGGCCCCTTCCTGTTCCAACATGACTGCGCACCAGTGCACAAAGCAAGGTCCATAAAGACATGGATGGGGAGGGGGAGGAACGTGACTGGCCGCACAGAGTCCTGACCTCAACCCCATAGAACACCTTTGGGATGAATGAGACTGCGAGCCCCTCCCCCAACATCAGTACCTGACCTCACAAATGGTCCAACATTCCCATAGACACACTCCTAAACCTTGTGGACGCCTTCCCAGAAGAGGCGGAGCTGTTATAGCGGCAAAGGGCGGAGCCAACCCAATACTGAACCCTACGGACTAAGACTGGGGGGCCATTAGAGTTCATGTGCGTGTAAAGGCGTCCCAATACTTATGGCAATATAGTGTGTATATATATATATATCTGTGTGTGTTTAGGACCCCTCCAGCTGATAGACACCTACCACTGGTCATACCGTGCCTGAATGATGACAACCTTCACATGTCTGTGGCCACCTTTATAGGAACAGAGACGTTTTTGAATATAAAAAGGTCAGAGCTCCGCCCCCCTGGTCTCGGCACTGGCTGGTGATGCCACTAGGGGGCAGAGTTGTCACTCTTCCAGAAGAGCAATGTCTTCTCCACACACTATCAGATGGCAGCGGGGAGGAGCGCGGTGTACCGGTGATCACAGGCGGCTCTTTGCTGTTCTTAGTTGAACTTGTGTTCAGTTTTCTCCGTTTCCCAACCCCCGCCCGCCCGCATTCACCGGTAGGAGGGGAAGATATAAAACAACCTTCTATTATATACACAATATTCCTAATTCATGTTTTCCTGGTCTGACCTGTTACACAAACTCCCACACCGCTCTGATCATTGTTATATTAATGACTCCCGGGTTTCGGTGTTCCTCCACCCAACACATTCCCCGTGACCCCGACAATAACCCCATGTGACTCCGCCCACCCAGGAAACATCACCTGACTGCCACAAACCACGGCCCCCGTAACCCCCGACACCCACCATGCTGCCAACATGGCCCCAATACTAAGCATGCCATCTCGTGACCTCAGCACCTAGAGGACCCTTACCTAACCATGACACCCAGCACAGCCCATGTGACCCCGACATGTCCCATAATTCCACATGATCCCAATTTCCAGTATGCCCCCATGTGACCTTGACACATATCATACCATCACATGACCCGGACACCCAGGATGCCCCCCACGTGACCCCAGCCCCCAGGAAACGTTATCTGAACACGACACCCCAGCATACCCCCATGTGGCCTTGATATCCAGTAAGCCCCAACACCCACCCCACCTACGTCCTGACACCCAGCACACCCCACCCGAGTCCAACACCCAGCACACCCCACCTGAGTCCAACACCCAGCACACCCCACCTGAGTCCTGACACCCAGCACACCCCACCTGAGTCCTGACACCCAGCACACCCCACCTGAGCCCTGACCCCCAGCACACCCCACCTGAGTCCTGACACCAAGCACACCCCACCCGAGTCCTGACCCCCAGCACACCCCACCTGAGTCCTGACACCGAGCACACCCCACCTGAGTCCAACGCCCAGCACACCCCACCTGAGTCCTGACACCCAGCACACCCCACCTGAGTCCTGACACCCAGCACACCCCACCTGAGTCCTGACACCCAGCACACCCCACCGAGCACGGCCATTTATCTTGTACATATTCAGTCCTGAATCTAGATTTCTGTATCCGACTACAATCAGATTCAACCCGAAATCCGGGACACGTAATGCGCTATGAAAGGTCGATCACTTTTTGGAGAATAAAAACGGGGAAGATGGAGAGGCGGAGCCTCTTCAGCGCCTGCAAACACAAGGACCACATCGCTGCCGATCACATGTAATACCCCGATCGCCGCTGGTGTCACCGCTTACATTCAGATCGTCCTGCAGGTGTCCCAGCTCCTCCCGCAGACTGCTGAAAGTGGCCAGAACAAGTTTCATGGATTTGTCGGAGGTTTGCCTCATCTGGGGGGAGAGAAGATCCGAGGAATCAATCATCAATATATCGCAGACCATTCAAGGACAAAGAAGAACATTCTGTGTATCCGGCGGAGTCTCACCTGCAGCAGGTAGCGGATTTGCTGCTTGGTGAGTTCAGAGACGCCTTTGGGGATCAGAGATTCGATGTCTTCCTACAAGAGAGAGAAAAGAGGGTGAATAGACGGTGAATCAGCATCACAGAGCGAGTCGCCGCAGCGGAGATCCTGGAACATTAAGAGGGGTCTTCACCAACAACGATCGACCATCAAAGGGTCCGAACTGATCAGCTACTGAGTGAAACCAACCCTCTTATTATACATCAGGATGAGTATACCCAAATGTGTGTTGTCATGGGCGACAACAAGCGTCAGTATGAAGTCAGCAGAGTCCCAGCGCAGACTAAGACACTGATAGTGATGACCGGCATCACTATCAGTAATACGGATTGGAACATTATTGATTTGTAATAATCATTTAGTCAGGGCCGTCTTTAACGCGGGGCGAAAGGGGCAGTTGCCCAGGGCCCAGTCATTGTTGTGGGGCCCAAAGCAGCTGCCCCTTGAGAAGGTCCTGCGCTGCAAAACTACCACTGGCCCTGCATCTCAGCACTGACAGTAGAGTGCTGGATGATCGCACAGCGGGTCACACGGAGAGAAGAGCTGGGTGGATTCCCTCCCCCTCCATGATGTGTGTATGTGTGTCCTGGAGTGCGCATGCGTGTATTAGGGAACACTAAACGTCCAGAGAGAGGGGTCACGGCATGCTGCTTGTCTGTATGTGATGGGGGTCACTACATGCTTTCCATGTACATATGATGGGGGCACACTGCATGCTAGCCAGTGTTAGCGTAAGGCTGCATAGACAGTTGTCTGGGGGGGATGCGCCCTCACCTGTGTATACGATAATCCTTGAGCCTGCTAAAGATACACCCGCGCCACTCTTCGGTTTACTGTGCGATCAGTATTGCATAGTGTTGCCCCGCCCCTGTCATGTGTGCGTATGCATGGGTGAGATTGCATGGCAGGGGGTGGGGTTGGTTGGTTAGGGTGGGTAGGAGTGGGGGACCCAAGAAAATGTTTGCCCAGGGTCCAATCAGTATTAAAGACGGCCCTGAATTTAGTAATAATATTTATTAGTAGCTGCGGTGACCATTTCATAGACGTCTTTCTGTAATTGGCCGGGAACATTTACAAACAATTAATCGTCGTCCTTATGAAGGATTTCCAAACCTCTTGTAAAATATTACTGTCCGTCCATCCGATGCACAAAGACGTGCTGAGGAGCATAGGAAAGAAGTATGTATTGCCTGTGCTCCTCAGCTCCACCTAGTGGCCATAATGAGGTATTTACCTGATATTACATTCAACCTGGAAAGAAAATATACTAATAACATTTGTTTTTGCCTCCATTCACACAGAACAAATGTTTAGCAGGATGAACGGCTCTGCGATTCATTTTTTAGATACACCCCTTTGCTTGTGAAACATTAGACATGACGAGGGATATAGCAAATCAAAATGAATGGCCGGGCATAGTACGTGAAGGTAACAGACAGATTTATAGAAAGTTGTGACGTACCTGGTACTCGGAATCCGATGGTTTCCTGCAAATACAAAACACAAAGTCGGTTACCAGAAAGGAAAGATCGATGCCGCACAGAGGATCTCTGGCTGGGGCAATAAAACGCAACCTGGGGCAATAAAGCGCAATCTAGCAATGCATTTAAAACACTATTAGAAAGCTGCACAGCTGCCGGAACTTTCTATTTCCATCATTAAAGGAGAACTATGGGGTCAGTGTTTTTCCCCATAGATCTCCTCAGGGTAACGGGAGGACACAAACTAGCGTCCTCCCGTCACCCTAGGCTCAGTATATAGGGAGCTACAGCTCGCGGTATACTGAGGCGCCGCAGCCGGAGCGGATCCCGACAGTTATGTCTGGATCCGCCCAGCTGCGTGAGTGACAGCTGGCTCTGCCTATCTAGAGCCAGCTGTACCCGCCCCCTCCCCCGTCCGTTCCCCCAGTCAGCGCTGGAGGATCGGGGAGGGGGGGGGACCCTGAGGGGAGTGGTGAGTGACAGCCACAGCTCTCTGCAGGGGGAGGATCGAGAAGTGAGCGAGCGCCGGTATGTGTTCGCTCACTTGCCGATCTATAGAGCCGACGTGTGACAGTTTCATTGTCACGCGTCGGCTCCAACTATGAGGATGAGGGGAAATCACTCGCCTCATAGTTCTCCTTTAAAATAAACAAGTATTGTGATTGAATGTATCAAATGATTCCCTCTTTCCGGTAATAGAGAGCCGGGGAGGGGGCTGGGCATTGAAGTCTGACACGTCTACCGTGAAGCGTATTGCGGGACGCAGGGTACATGGGGAGGGGGGGG